CGACGGGACTCCGATAAACGATTAGAGGCTGAATTTCTCGGGTGCATTAGGATGCACCTCGCGTAGGCCCAGAAGTGCCCCTTCACGAGTGCTGCCACTGTTGCCAACCTGGCAGCTCTCCTCCTCGGAGTGTCGCTCAGGTATGCACCGTGGGTGCCCCGGTGGGGCTCTCTCGGTTCAACCGCATGCGTTTACGCATCCTCCTTGTATGAGAAAGTCCAGAGGGGTTTGCGGGAAGGTTAATGCGCGATCCGCCGCGTGTCAAGGATCCATTAGCGGCATCGATGCGGCACGGTTCCCTCGGAGTATTTCCTCGGTTAGATGGAACCGAACGGTGTCGTGGAAACTGGCCGGGTCGTTCCGGCTCTCGATTAACGGTAACGGTCAATGGTCAATAATCGCCGATATCCCAAAGGAAAAAAGTCATTAATCATTTTCAGAGAAAACCCTAAACAGCGCAGCCTAAATACCATAATTTCAGACAACTGAAAAAAAAAAAAAATACAGAGAGCAAAAAAGTGACCAAAAAACCAGCCGCGTGGCATAATCGCGTTCCGATTGCACAACGCGAGAACACGTACCCACGGCTAGTGGCGATGAAAAAATTGAACACGACGAAAAGCGAAGGAGAGGCAGATATTAATTTCATTCGGCGCCATTTAGCGAGGCAAATCGCAAGGATATATCGGTAGGTCCCCGAAGACGGAGGAGTATTCTGCGGATGCACCTCCCTCGGGGGGAGGGATTCTCCCGAGCAAGTCTAGCAGAAAGGTTCCAGACGAGTCGTTTCACGAGCGGTGCCGCATTGTGCCCCCGTGGAGAACAGGAAGTCGGCTCTTGCAAAACGGAGGCTCGTAAACGCCACTCGGAGCGGTCACTCGGCGTTCCGTCGAGGCGAGGAGGAGCGCCAAGTGGAACCGGCCAGGAACCGATTCGGAACCGATTCTGAGCCGAGAGAGCAAAATCCCGGTATCCCTCGAGAGCGACCCCCACTTGGATATTTTCGAGAGGGGAATATTTAAAAAAAATGCCTATTTTTATCCGGGATTCGAGACGCTCCGCAGTCTCTGGGAGCGACCGAGAGTCGTCGCGTCCTCGGCCCGGCGGAAATAAGTGTAATAATAACGAGCGCCGCTCGTCCTACGTGTCGGGAATAACGAGGGCCGTGTACGCGAGAGATTCGAGAGGACAATGCGTCGCCATTACGCGACGAGAAAGAACAAGAGACAGAGACACACCACGGAGAGGATCCCTCGTCCGGATCGGCCCGTGCGAGACCTCCGCGAGACCAATCGGGCGACCTCTCCAAAAAATAAAAGGAAAAAAAAAGGAAGGGAATATTATTAAAAGTCTCCACCATGAGCGATGAAACAAGGATCAGTATATCCACCCATAAATTATACACGACTGCAGAGGGAAGGAATGATTTTCTTATTATTTTTATTTTCGTCGCTGTGCTAGAATCTTCATTTTCAGACGGGAATTCATACAAAAGGAAAAATGTTAATATTAACAGGAGTCATATGCCGACTCTTATTTACGTCCGAAGTAAGCGTTGCCGAGTACGTGTCGTAGTTTGCTCATTAAAAATGAATAAAAAAGGTTACCATTAATGCCAATGCTATATAGAGATTTTTTGTGGAGTTCTCGACCCCCTCTCGGGTAAGATCGATCCCGTCCACGGCGACGGTTTTTCAGGTGTCCTACGTAGATCGGCCACCTACTCGTTAAGGTCGCCACCTACTCGCCGATAGGCGCGTAGGAATAATTTCAACGCAATTATGGAGTAAAACGAGCGACCTTGGATCGACGATCGCGGTTACCGCGATGTGAAACCGCGAGGAACGGTGTCGTAGGATTTTCCTTGGGATCGTCCTTCGTTACCGAACGGCGAGTAACGAGGTGGCTAGGGCGTGGAATAAATAACGTGGGAAAGTCCCTCGATTACGCGAGTCGAATCAGGCTCAATAGGAGAAATCGAGTGGATACGAGGATCTGGAAGGAGCGATCATTGATCTTCATCGGCGGGACCGGGTGGGAGAAAAATTAACGACGACTAAGGGATCCGTCATTTTCAAACGGAAGCGACTAAAGGTGACCCCCGACTCGTTACTCAAAATGGACCAGGGTTGCAAATTGAAATTAATCGCAAGATAAAAAACCCTTCGAAATTACATTTACGAATTATTAATCCACCTTCCTAGCATTGACGCCCGTTTACGCCATATAAATGAAGACCTCGCGATATGATCACCACAGTGTGGAAAAAGCGCATAAAGGCTCGTTGCAGGTTATACCTACGTGGGCTTGCGTGGGAAAGTCTCTAACGACGCGAGGAATAATCCTCGATTCGAGACCGGAGACAATAATTATAATGCAACCCGGGAACGAGGAGGCCCGAGGCAAGTGCCACGTGGGAGCATCCTCCACGTGGCGTCGCGAAATCGCTCGTGGGAGGGATCGGGGCCGCCCTCGCGAAGAATCAAATAATCCGAGGATCGAGATTGCAAATTCTGGTAAATCGGACGAATCCCTCTAAATCGACGAGATCGGTAAAATCGGCGAAATCCAAGAAACCAGGGCGATTCCCACGGGCATAATCACGACTCCCTCGATATATCTGGGTGAATCCGCTCCAACGTGTCGGCAGCTGCAGCTGCACAAGTTAGGCGACTGCATCCCGCGTGGGAAGCGCATCTCGTGGATGCACCTTAGCGACTTGAGCAAACGATGCGCCTCCGCCGCGAAAGTGCACCGGCGAATCGCGTGACGAGTCCGAAAGGTACGTGGAATCGCGACTTATTGTCAGTCGCAGTTAGAACAGCCGTGAGTCATTATCGGGGATTAATGAATCATGACTTTCTATACGGGCGAGATGGCCGATTTCCACTCGGACAGGTAAGTAAAAATCATTCGTAGGGCCTCAAAGGACTTTTTGCCAGGTTAGGTAACAACTGCACCAAACTGCCCGCAAGAAAATCGTCCTTGCGCCGGGAAATAAACGGCGTCGTAAAATATCCGGCATTGTACAAAATATGCCATTGTAAAACCGGGGACATTTTTTAGAGGCATGACCACGTGGTAACACCGCCGATTCCCACGTGCTGCGGTGGGAGATTCCCCCTGATGTACCCATTTATCTGTGAGTCGCATCGCTGTAAATTCGAGGAGCATTCGCGTAAAGGTCGGCGGAGAGCACGCGCTTTGCGTGAGTACCTCGGTACCTGGAGTACCTCGAGTACGAAGAGGGGAAGCGGGTAGAAAGAAATCATCTAAAGTTCACAGTAATGTCAGCGACGACTTTCTCGCTCCAAACTTGCCGGATTAACGTCGTTCATCGAACGACTCGTTCAGTTTCGCACTTCTACTTCTACTCGCCTCCCCCGGCGAAACCGCGTTCTGGGAGCCTCGCGTGACATCATTCTTGCGTAAAATAAGAGCCGCGAGAAAATCTCGGGAAAAACAAAATTACTCCCGCCCACGTATTGCGGGATCTCAGGAAAGCCCGGATATCGTCTCGATTTAACGGCGTCGTTCCATCGCCTCGATAGTCTGTAACAAATTGCGCAACGGAGGCGTCGATCCACGCGCGTGTGCGTAGGGAACGCATCCGAGGATTTTCTGCGGTGGTCTTGGCTTTCAAGGCTGGGAATCCGGAGATATCGGCGATCGCCGTCGAACCCGGGATATCGCGCGATCGGTCGAGATCGATAAACGATCCTCGCCGATCGAGGCGGAAGAACGAGTCGCGGCCTTGGCCTACCACTGGCGGCATTTGCGGATTTACCTCTTTTACGGAAAAGGAAGAGAGAGGAAAAAAATAAAAAGGCGAAAAAAAGGTGAAGAGAGACGGAGAGGGGACCGCGGGATGTGAGTCATCGGCGGCGTGAATGAAAAATCTGATATCACCAGGTAGATTAGATTACTTCAATTAACTGGGCCCATTAAGTGCTCGTGCTACATGGTCCTCGATTTTATTTTATATTTCTTATGTTATCTTTTTTTTTTTTCTTTCTTTAAGAAACGCTATGCCAGAACCGTCGATACTGTATATTTCATAATTAATCAATTATCCCGAGAATAATTTTAGATCTTGGAAAATGTGCAACTCTGCCCAGGCAGGAAATATCTCCTCTCCCCTGATGATTTTAAGTTTCCTGGGGAGACACCCTCTCATTCCCCAGGGAATCTCGTTCTCTCCTTTACGACGCCACAAAGGACGCTCTTAACGTTATTACGAGACATCAAAGATGTCCACGTCTTTGCACCTCCCGGGTAAATCCCATGGAAAAACGTCCGGCCGCTTTGGCAATTGACAATTATGGTAAGCGCGAAAGTCGCGGGCGTATCGATCGGAAGAATTTACCCCATGAATGAATCTTAAATACTCCACGTCGAAGAGAAAGATAAATAAATAATTTCCAAGTCCGAACGATTTTTTTTCCCTCGCGCGTATCACTCGAAAAGTCTCTCATCTCTCTCGTCACTTTCTCAACTTTTCTCTTTACCGCCCTAATCGCGTGTTCTCTCTTCCAAGTGTTTTCCTAACCGAAGGGTCGGCCCGAAATCCCGCAGGCACTTAGTTCGAATTAGCTCTCCGTTTCCCACGTTTCATCGTCCGCTCCACCGGTATCTCTCTTTTGTTACATCGAAAAACACTTTTCTCGCCCTGCGGCCCTCCAGGAACATCCAGAGGAGCGAAACGAAATCAAGCTCCATGCAACCGCATCCTCCCAAGTGAGACATTACCCGCTCCGACGAAACATCCTGAACAAGCACGATTTCCTTTGAGAATTTCCACGCCAAAAAAGAGCCCCCCAAATGTCCTCCGAACTCTGAATTTAAAACCGCCGTTAGCGCATCTTTTTAAATGCATTCGGCGCGAAACTCTCCCGAGTTTCCTGATACTCTTAACGTTACAATCAATTGGCGATGGTTAGAAAAGGATAACTGTCCTCTCGCTATTTCTCATTAGTGCGGAAAGAAAATTTTATACTCACATTTTCGGGCTGCGACGATCTCCTCTGCCGCGGCACACAGAAGAGCGGCACGCCGCTTTCCCTCTTCCTCTCCAATATAGCGGCTTCCGGTCTCTCGCGGTTCGCGAAACGACCGCCGGCGGCGCGGCGGCGCTGCTCCACCTTCGCCGTCTCGCTCGCTCCTCCGGCCCGGCGGGTACTGCCCTCTCTCTCGCTCTCGCCTCCGCGCGCCTCAGGCGCGCCGCGGCCGCGAGGCCCGCATTCGCCTCACGCCCGGCGCATGCGCCCGACCGACTCCTTCGCTCGGGTGTGAGCGCACCTTCATTCGAAACAAAGGCGCCCGCTCTCCACTAGGCGCCGCGAGTCCCGAGTCTCGTAAACAAACCCACGAACTCGTCGCTTCCGGCTTCCAAAGGACCCTGTCTCCTCCCTCTGAGTGAGCCACCCCGGCCGATTAAAAGAGGCCGGTCTCGGGGTTATTTCGTCCCCCTTCCAAGGTCGACCGGATACCTTCACCTTAGCGGCTTTTCGTCCACTTATTCCCTCGCATTGCGCAAGTCGATCGGCCGGAATTGCTCCGGGTGATCCGCGGTCTTTGTTTGGCACTTTTCACTCTCGTTCCTCCGGATGAAAGGTCAGGATCCTCCGGATCACGATATCGACCCTTGGAAATAAAACCACCGCGTTCACGGGTCTCTCCCTAGAGTCCGGGTCCTCTTTTTGCCGGCTCGATTTCCTTTGAGGCGGTCCAAAAATCCTGAGTCCCCGATAGTGGCGATAGGGATCTATGAAATCCGGATACCGTAAGAGGGGATTGAGATAAGACGTAGCAGGTGACGCCCCGAGTCTCGCTTATTTACTTCTCCGTTCAGCTTCGAACGGTGTTTTGGTTTCGCCGGTGATCGGCCGTCTCTTCGCTTTCTCCCCGAAATTCTCGGCGATGGGTACCTTTATTCCTCTTGCCCTTAATGTACTCTATCTCTTGAGAGATTGTCACGTGATGTATGAAAAACCACCCTGGTAAATCAGCCAACTACTGACTGTTGGTCTCCACTAATCCTTGTCGGTAATTACTTCAATTTGACTTTAATTTAGTCCAGTGTTTACAGGGTACATCGATTTTAAAATCCCACGGGTTATCGTCGGTGAAGATATTCTTCCCCGCGGTGGACGAGCTTCGAAATTACGGTCAACCCCCGTGATCCATCGCAGGCTCCGATTGGCTCACTCTTCTAGACCGAGAGATTGGGGCGAGACTCCGGATCGCGATCGGCGTCGCTCTGATTTCTTCTTCGCCCTGAAATTGACTTCCAACGCGCGATGTCGCTCACTTACTTCGTAACTGGTATTGCGCAGCGGTTCTGGGTTGCGCGCACCGCGGAAACCCGCACAGGTTACCGATTTCCACGACCGGACGCGCGGAACGAGCCCAAGCGACGTTGTTGGCTCGCGCTCCGCGAAAGAACTGAGCGCGGCGCATCGGATCGGCCGCCGCTACCCCCACCACCAAGCCGGGGACCGCTCGACCAATCAGCGACCGCCTTTGCGCGGGCGGCCTTACCTGGCACGAGGGCACGCTGGAAGACGCTCCGCCAATCGGAGCCCGCGCTTTCCGATGGATCCCGCACCCTACGTTTGATTTCCCGATCCAAGCGTCGTTGACTTATTAATCCAGTCATTCGCGAATGAAGTTCAACCGAAACGTTCCGCCCTAAGATGGACCATTCGAGAACGATTTATGCAAAACGCCGTGCTGAATCACTCCGGCACGACGTAATGCGTTCCCCAGGAGGAATGGCCATTTCACGGAGTTTACAGCCGTTACGGGTCTGTCGAACACGCGGAAAGGCAGTTCTAAGACCCCTGTTTTTGCAGGCCAGACCTAATGTCTGCCGGAGTTTCAGCCGAAGCCTTTTTATTCACAATCATCCAGCCGTTATTTCGCAGATGGCCAGTTCTTTGTAAGCGCAGAAACACCGTGCCACGTTATGGCGACTTTTGCCAGCACGGTCCATCAGACCGTGTAGTATCTCCGCCTGTGCCGGTTTAGAAATGAAATTTCGCCCGCACGCGGAACTCTGATATTTGTCCTCGGTTAGCCATTGACACGGGTAATCGAGAGGCACGCGACGACGTAAAAATCGTCGCTGGTCTTCTATTTTGACTATTTATGGAGCCATTAAACATCGGGCTGACATTTACGACGTGGCCACCGTGGCCTACGCGAGTAATTCTTTCCCGCGTTAGAGTTTGCGATAGACACGCCCTAGAGGGTGTATTTCCTCGCGTTAGTAGATTCATGTCACAGGACGCGCCTTGCGGCGTGAGACCGATATAGGTGTCCGCGTTTAATTTCACTAAAATGCAAAGTGAGTAATAAACTGGTCTAGACGTGCCCATAGTACTACTATTTACTTCATGTGGGCGTCAAGGTGTGGGAGTGCCGCCGGACATGGAAGACTACACCGACACGAACGTATAGACGATATATCGTCACTTCCTCTGCGGAAACCGACAGGAACTGTCAACATGTGCGCGCATATGCGTGCAACTGGAATTCTGGAGTCGGTTAGATAAAAGCACGCTTGCTGCTGGCCCCCAAGGTTTTTTTTCCGAAAAGGATGGCGGCTCCCTTCTGATGCTTCTCGTGCGATATCTCGATTGACTCATGCCCGGCTATAAATGGACGAATTTCAGGCTCCGCGAAAAAGTCTCGACGCCGAATGTTACGGATTCTAAACTCTGCTTGACGGAATATATATGGGGCGGAAATGGTTCTCGGAATCGAGTGGAATTATTCTCGCTCGTAACGATTTGCTTTCCTGTATTTGTACCGTCTTCCTGGAAAATCATGCTTGAAGACATCTGTTTTGGAACGGCTTAGGCGATGCGATTGCGTAACTGGACTGGGTTCTTCACGAATTTCTACAGATTTTTCAGAATTTCCTTTGTTTCCCATGCAGAAATTGTGGGAGAATTTTGTACACGATTAGTGGTATGGTTGATAGGACCGATAATTGCTTCCGCTTTGATATTTTTGTACTCTAGTGGGTAGATCAGGGTAGATTTCTGTTCAACTGGGAGTCTGCTTTTACAAAGTTGGAATTTCAGCCGAGAGATGGCATCACGACACGGCGTCAAAATGGCGACTCTTCTAGTGCCGACCGGAATATTTTCAACGTGTTGCTGAGGTTGAGGCAGAGGTGGCGTAAAATTCTTAACAATTTATTGTTACAAAAGAAAAAGTATGTAAATTATGTCGGGCACATTACTTACCTAACGTTGGGCTGTGCTGTAATCGCTCACTTGATCTCATATGTACGCAGATTTCTAAGAAATGTTCGATATCGGTGTCTAAAAATCTATTAAATGATTCATTACAATTATACACATAAAAATGATTTAATGCAACAAAGTCATAACATGCAAATGCATTAAAATACATTGAAGTTAATTTACATGATTGTGAAAAAGAATATATGGAAATTAATAAGGCGTTGGATATTCCTCTGAATACTGCGATGTTTTTGGGTCGGGTATATTATCCAACATGTCTTGCAGTTCTTGGTCGTATTTGCTATCTATTTTATCACTCTCATTTGCATCTTTCAAAACATCGCAGAGTGGTATAGGTACCTTTTTTCGAATGGCTCTTTCAATCTTTTGTACCAAAACAATTTCCAATGGACGTGCGACAAAACTTGTCACTTTACAATCGTGTGGACTGCCTAATCTTCCAATTCTACCACACCTAATATAGAATAAATGAAACTAGAGTTAATGTACATGCAATACTCAAGCTGATTCGATTTTCTATCACAAGCTCAGCCAGCTAAATGAGTTAGTCAAACATGTACATTTTTAATAAGGAAGTTTACCTGTGGATATAGTCAACGGTTGATGTGGGTAGATCATAATTTAAGACTTGTCGGGCCATTACAGTGTCTAGCCCCCTGGATCCAGCATCGGTGGTACTTAGTACAGTCACATTACCGCATTGAAATTGAGAAAACATTCCTCTCCTCAATTTAAGGTTCATTTGACCGTTTAAGTTAACATTGCGTATATTAAATTCGTTCAGATACATGCTGATCCAGTCACAAGTTGATGTTTCATTGCTGAATATGATAAGTGGACAATCATTTAAATACTTTTGTTTCACCATTTTCAATAACATTGTAGGTTTATCGGGTTTCATCAGCCGTATAAACTTTTGCAGCACATGAACATGATGTAGTCTATTTGTTGATGCAGTCTGCAGGGAGTCTGTCTGAAAATTTAAAAATATTCCAGTAAAGACTAGTAGCACATAGCTCTATCGATGAAGTATCTTGTCAAAAGGATATAATATTTTTGCAGTAGACAACTTAGATATTTATGTTTACTTACATTTACAATATCATGAAGTGTTTCTATGAGATCAGTAGGCATCGTGGCCGAAACGAGCATTAATTGGGCAGTTACAGGTAGTGTGTTGTGCAAGTGTTCTTGCTTGAATCCAAACTATTGATAAAAATATTTTATCAAACTTCCTATTATATGGAAATTGTTAATATATTTATAGGCAATATGATTTTATACTCACAGTGATATTACGTAGAACCTGTCTAAGTTTAGCTTGGAAGGTGCCATCAAACAAGGAGTCTGCTTCATCCAGAACGGTGATGCGAACATGATCCATTTTATATAGCCCATCTCTAACTAGTTTATTTATTGTTCCTAGAGAGGCAATTATTAAGTCAACATTTTCGATGGGTTTACTCATCAATAAGTGTTTTGTTTGGCCGCCAACAATTGTTTTCACATTGAAGTCGATATCCTGTGTTAATGCGATGACTACTTTCTAACATTAAAGGGCAAATAAATATTCACATTACTAAATCTTAGATTAGAATCCTTAAACATATTAAATGTTCAAGATATTTCATTTTATATTTTAACATATTTAGTTATTTGCATTAATAACTTACCGCGATTTGTGCCGCTAATTCTTTGCTGGGAGTAATAATCAATCCCAGTGGTGAATTGAAATGTCTGTCTGTAATGTCTTTCCATTTTAAGATTTGATGTAGGAGTGGAAGCAAATAAGCCAAAGTCTTTCCGCATCCAGTATGAGCTGCTATAATTACATTCTCCCCACTCAGAATCATAGGGATTGCTCGTTCCTGGATTTCAACTGGACATTCAATGTCATATTGGTCACGCAAATTTTTCAATAAATTCCAGTTCAAATTAAAATCTTTAAACGTAACGTTACTACTAGGTGTCACATTTGTTATTCCTTCAATCTAAAATATATTTAAATTGTGGGTAATTTATAGTATCAAATGTAATTGAAATACAATTCTAGACAATATTGATATTGATATTAAATCTATTATTATATTACATTTTTTATAGGATATATAGTAAAGTGATCTCCCTTGGATTTTCTGTGATACCATGCTCTCGATGCCAATTCGATTGGTTTAAACTTAGGATAAGTATCACCTTCATAAAAGTTAAATTCACTCCTTTTGCATACGATTATAGGGGTTTTATCTTTTTTAGCCTTTTTTGGTGGCTCAACTTCAGGCACAGGAATTCGTTCACCCAAGACCGGCATCGTAAACTATTAATTGTCAACATATCAGTATTATAAAATCGGGTAACTTCACAAAGAAAGTTTGTTTTCAGTATATTAAATAAGGAATTAACTAAATAAACTCACCCAACATTTTTGTAAACACCCGACATTCTCCACATTTAGAGTTACATTTCTTCGACACGCATTACGAAATTGAGGAAACATTTTATAACAAATGTTCAAAAGGACCTATGAATTCCTACGATACATCATCACGTCACTGATACGATTCAAGAAAATTGCAGAAAATGTTCACACGGTTACACGTGTGATTACAAACATAGGCGAGTTCAGGCGAATCGGGAGACTGTTCCAGAGATGAGTTGGGAGATTGCACACGGGCAGGATTGTGTGTTCGCATCCTGTGCTGCCCTCTGGTTTCGTACGTTGGCTTTCACCGTTTTTTGCCCCCAAGGGCGGTGCAACGAATTTCTGATAGGAGCTCGCGCACTCGCGATGGCGGTACGATCTACCAGTCGCCGTTGGAGGCTCACGTATTCG